ACCATTAGCTGAGAGAAGGTTTTGGCCCCACACTCTGCGTATTTATGTTAGCAAACGATTCACTCCTGCATCGAAGCTAAAACGTACGCAAACACATTGCTCGCTGACTCTGGCTTCTTAAAACCAGCGTTGGTCCCTAGAACGAATTGGCGAGCCACCTCTGGGTTTCTGGTGAAGATCCCTGGAGATCCCCAAAGAAATGGAACAATCGAGATTGTGTCATTGTCGAACTCCTCGTATACTGATTTTATTAAATGGTTAAATGGTTAAACATGTGCTGTATGTCGTGATTTACGTCACTCACAACACCCACGCCATTTCCACACAAAATCAATCCCTAGGTTCCACCATGTAGTCGGGAATATTTGACCTGGGAACGCGTATGGCTGAAACATAACTATTTTTCCAGGAAGAAAATTAACAGCCTAGAATTGGAGCCGCGATGAGCTGGGCGAAAAAAGTTAGAACAATAGAACAGACTCGTAGGCCATCGGAAAATTTCTTCATCCTCCATGCAAAGAAGAGAACCAAAGCAGCAAGAATTACGGTCCAAGGACCAGGTTTAAAACTGTGCATGACGTCGAGGCACAGCATAATCGAGGTGAAAGTGTTGAGTACGATCGAAGATCTGAATTGCAGATGTATGAAAAGAAGAAGGGCAGATGAGAATATTCTTTCAAGGTGGCTGTTGCAAGGAAATCCATCGACCATATATAGCACTTGATTTAAAGACTAAGTCTAAAGATGAGGGAATGCATCGTAGAATCTAGATACGCATCGCAGGATTTGGACTTGCCATCGGAAAAACCAGACATGTATCCTATAATCAGGGCCTACATCGCATAGTTTAACAGACGTTTTCGGGCATAGAAGAGCGCAGATGATGAGAATGCTGACTTTAGAGTGACGCAACGCTTGAGAAACGACTCCGAACGGTAAATTCAGTCGTCTAGATAGCAGTTTAAGTGTTCCGAATGTTGCCTCGCTGACCGTCAAGCAGATATTTAAACGCTCATTGGTGGGATGACCTAGCACGCGACACCGCGATGCTCTTCTTGTGAGTCCTAAGGAAGATCATCCAGGCCTACGTGGTAATATTTGATGCACAGACTGGAAGTAAGCGGTTCAAAAGGGGGAATAAAGCCGCCGACGAGAGCAGGAGGCAAAGTTTAAGTGAAGCTATTTCCAAGACTCTGCATCGTGGTTGGCCCGAAAGTGATCCGTTTCAGACCATCGTATTTGGATTTGTTGTTTTTAGAGCCCTTTAGAGTTTGCGTCTCGCAGCCGAATCCCGATAGAGTTTCAATCTAAACTTGTCAACTACGGACGTTTCACAGGTCCGCTCTTTCGTCACTTCGTGTCCAATGGTTCTCATTTCTGGGATTCGGAACAAGTGTGAAATATAAGCTACCAATTTTCCATCAGAAGAACAAGCTACTTTCATGATGATCTTTAGGTTCGTGGATGAAGGCTTGCCAGTACACGCAACAGCAGGCTTGACAAGAGTCGCTAGAGGATAACAGTTTGCAGGCATGCTTCGAAACAGTGAACTCAGTAACCGCCAAAAGTGTCCCGCAACACTCGCAAAATGAAGATATTTTACCGAAAATTTCGGGTGTCCTTACAACCCTCAAATGCAACATGTCGCCTATCAACGCTGATATGAAAACAGATGCCAAAATGTTTAATGAACTCCCCTATTCTCAAATTCAATGTTCATTCGATAAGCTCTCAGTTAATTCGATGAACGCCAACGGTCAGTCACCGAAATTATTGACGATGGTCGAAAAAGGTCCCCGTTTTTTTTTTAACCTGTAAGGTTTACACCCAAAATGATACTCGCGCTCTAACATCGTTCAACCTTTTCAGAATCGCTGGGAAAGGATATGCTTCTACACACTATGTCACTGCTCTAGATATCAACCTGAAATATGACGCACTCGGGACGATAGCCACCTGGTAAGACTCTGGTAATTGGTTACGGTAAATATATTATGCTGACATCTTGAAACACAGCTTTGGTTGCGCTAGAAGATCCGCTAGCTCTATATGCTCTCTTTAGTGTGCATTAGTTGACCCTGAAACTGTCAGCACTCAGTTAATGGCCTCTAAATTATGACGGCATAGACAGTTTCAATGCCTTCTCAACATAAAATATTTGGGTTGCAACAACTTTTGCTTTAGGAGTGTTGAGACTACTGAAATCAAACCACAGTCTGATGATTCCCCTCGTAAGTTTTGACCCACAAGATTATCACGGGGTCAACCGCTACCACCTTGCAGGTTGATATTGAACAGCTCGTTACCAGCTCGATGCGTACTAGGCATTGAAATAACTATGCCATTTGCAAGACTCCCTGGATCCAACTCATAAAATTATAATAGCGAAGCATTCCATTCATTTGATCTTTTTTCAAGCTCGGATAAAGAGTTGGCTTTATTGGATCATCTAGAAAACTGTCGCAAGTGCATATGTACGCTTTATAATTTATATACCGCACCATGCTAATGCCCGAGTCATCAGCAATTCTGCATTTGCTTTCACTGGTCTTGGTCTTTGGGGTAGAGTCTTTAACTATAACTTCAGCCAAGTGACTTGGACTTTATATGTCTTTAGAGGCCTTTGTCTTCAGAAAATTGTCTTGTACTTTGTCTTTGCAACTTGGCTTGTCTTTATGTGTCTTGAGTTATAGTAAGCCAGCTTTCAATATCAACAAAGAACTTGGAAAAGGCACAAATACTTGAGTGGTATTTTAATATCGAATAATACTATCCGTCTACTCAGGACGTCACTGTCACGTGTATCACGCGACTGAACACGTGCTGTTCTCGTGACGGTTCGTTTATTCATCTAAACATCACGAATCAATTACTTAACCACAATTCACCACCAGGTCTCTCACTATCTTCGCTACTTCCTTCCTCGCCACCACCATCATCACTGCAACCCAACGACAACAACGACGGCAGTGATAGTGACAATGACGCTTCAGCGACAATCATGACAGCAACGCACGAAGCCGTCACAGAAGGCGACAGAAACCGGCTGGGAGAACAGGAGAGGAGGAAGTCGGCTCAAAGTGCGTAACTGCTCACTATGTTAGTGCCCATCCATACCAAGAGAAAACTACAGCCACGGCCCTACACATGGTCTCCACTGCGGCTACACGCATCTGTTATCCCTACCTGCTACATATAGGTTCATCGCTCTCCTCTATTTTCTCACTGGTGAGACTGTATTTCGTTACTTACATGTAGACTCATCATTCTCGGCCAAACTGGGCGGACTTATTCACTACTGATCTCGATACCGGTGTTACTCAATGCAAGGCACGGCCATCCTTGTGGAATCAACGTCTCGATCAACTCAAAGACGAACCTGGGCTATGATCCTGGATGCTACAAATCCATACCAAAAGACAAGGAAAGGTGGTATGAAGGCTGGATGGTGATGATGAGCTGCATGACGTGGAATTTGATAATTAGGTGGATACTTTGACGTACTTACCTATTATAAGTGCTATATGCTTATATGCCTCCAATATCTTTCTAACATGACTATCTATGCTTATTACGTGCAAATAAATAAATATACTTGGTCTTTGAACTGTCTTTTATTGGTGCTTTGCAATATGAGTGTTGGCTATATGTGACTTGGTTAAGTCACCTCGTACTTTCAAAGTCGTGAGCCGACTTTTAAAGTAAATTTGTACTATTATAGTAAATCGACATAGCTATTCCAAGACGTCGTTGACTTTGGTCTTTTATGTCTTTGGTGGTCTTATATGTCTTTCCAAAGACCATAAAAGACGTCTTAAAGCAAATGCAGAATTGCTGATGGAGTATACACCAGATTACAAGACGTCAAAAAAGCTGCACTAAACTCTCAATGGCCGGCAACTTCAGATTCAAATAATAACCAGCGAATCAATTTTCAAACAAGGCGCTTCTATCGAGATTCGAACTAGGATAAATGCCAACCGAATCATCTCGGACTTTGTTACTTCACCACTATTTCGATGATCAAAAGCTTAGTTCAAATAATTCAATGGGTATCCTGCATTACGCTTCACATGCATCGTTCAGCTCACTCCCAAGCCTTCAAATCCATACGTGCAGAGCATATTATGCTCTGTACTTATTGTACTGGCATACCAACGTCGTATCAGTCCATTTACCTTATGGTCGTATGTAATGTGCTACATGAACGTCGTTTACACAGCAGATAAATGCCTAACAATACTATGCCGGTAACAATGATCAATTGCGGAACTCGACGTGCTTGTGGAAGAATAAGTGATTAATCATTTAATTTTTCCTATGGGCGGACATATGCGAATCCGGATAACATCAGAGTACGAAGCGAAAGGCTTACCCTGACCGTAGCCTTGATGATTTTTGAGAAATAGTGGTACGGAACACTTAAAAGAGATTCGAACTTGAGAACAGGAGTAGTACAGCGACATATAGTGTTTAACTCTGAGTCATCAGCACATATACTTGAATCCCAACGATTTGACTTGGGTCAATCAAGAGACTACTTCCGAAACTAACTAATCACCTGAATTATAGTTACTGCCCAAGCTCCAACTGAGCCATCACGCATGCGTAACGATGCACCAAGTGTTTTTATTATTATAATTCAGAGCATTTGGAAGAAGTAGTATCCTTGCAACAGGCCCGGGCACAGGTAATGTGTCCGTTCTATCAGTTTGACTGAATCAGAATTCAAACTGATTACCGTAAATAAGGTTAAGTAAATAAGTTGACTTACCAAGCTGGACTGCCTGGGGGGGCAACTTGTTTACAATATATTGCTTTATTCGATGGTACCAATTAAATATAGGCTGTGCCCCAATGGCGAGGCAGTTATCCCCAAGTCATAGTATCCCCATCCTAGTAACTAAAAAGTTCTTCGAATGAAAAATTATGGCATCTATTGTAAATGACTGGGTGATGGTGTTGTGGATAATAAAAATCGCATATCATGACATTTTCATTGCATTAAGAGGGAATCGAACCCCCGGCGGGTCGAGATAATTTACTCGTATCCGAACCAAGATGGCAACGACCCAGGTTACCACTACCCCATTAATGCTGGCGGTGATTGTCAATTCATTAGTAACATCAGGTGTCACCCAAAAACTAGATGAGCTGTGTCGCATAAAAACGTCAAACTTCCTGCGTATGCACTGCATTAAGAGGGAATCGAACCCCCGGCGGGTCGAGTAAATCAGAACTAATCAGACACCCATGGCAACGACCCAGGTTACCACTACCCCATTAATGCTTGCGATGATGAACGATTTGTTAACAAGACTAAGTACCACCAATACATGCCAGGCTGTCGTTTTAAATTCATGAAATTACTATATGAAGCTATGTCGCAGATGAATAATACCATGATATTTGGGGATTCAACATCCTCAAACGAGTTTGAAGTGGACACCATGGGTTGTTCCGTGCCCTGTCTGAATTTACAGCAGTTTGAGCAAATACAGACACCATTCAATTAATTAATTGGTACATTGGTGATTGCAGTCGCACTTCACATTGTACAGTGTACATGGCGGATAACAATCATTAGAAGAGAAGCTTGGTAGATCACTCGTTCGTTTGGGATTTTTGTTGCTTCCTCTGCGGACACCATAGAGATTCTTCGCCACGGGGACTAGGGTCTGAGCATTGAACTTGAAGCATGTATATAGATGTAGGACCATAGCCATTATAAAATAATTTAAATGTACCGATGTTGGTAGCAACAGAAACTCTACCTCCCCGTAACCCGAAGGGTACTCTTAGAATGTGCCGATGTAATTTAAGGGTATGAGGAATAACAATGTCTGTCGTCATGCACTACACAGCATTTCAGCCAAATAAAGACTTCAAAGCTCCTATTCGAGCTCTCGCGTTCTATCACAAAGATCTAGATATATCTACGGGCTCTGCGGCTACATGTACACAATTGGAAAACATGAAAGCAATTAACAATTCATAAGATGTCTAGGATATACTAAAAACTGGGTTCACACTGTTATCAATGCAGTCAATTCGGGCAGGGGCTTCGGGTTTCAGGTCTTCGGTTCAAAAGTTGGTGAGTAAAAAACATAGCATTATACTTGAACATGCATTAAGAGGGAATCGAACCCCCGGCGGGTCGAGATAGTTAGACACTCCTATCCGGTTTCTCAATGGCAACGACCCAGGTTACCACTACCCCATTAATGCTTACGGAATACATACGGAATGACAACACTGGTTGTACATTCATTGCAGGAAATAGATGCCTAAGGAGGACTTTTGTGTCCCGAAGTGCATTTTAAGAGGACTTTGTCTGAGAGAAGTCCACTTTTCGTGGACCCGCCGAGGATTCTTTGGTTTTTGATTATGCTATTCAGGTTGGAAAAGGAGGAAATTCAAGAATCAAAGAGATAACATGCAGAGAGTCAACGCCCATATTTTTGGTGCGGCGAGATTATTTTCCTTGTATGCCTGAACTTCTGAGGGATTTTCCCCAGGAGTTTTATTTTGGGCAGGCCCAAGGCCCTCTGGTCATTATTTCAAATTTCAAGCTAACATACATGGTGGAAAACGGGAATGAAAAACTAAAGTGTGTGATGACCATGCTTCGTGTAGGCCACCTATTTGGAGGCGAAATAAAAAGTTGTGCATCCATCATACCATACGATATGCATTAAGAGGGAATCGAACCCCCGGCGGGTCGAGTTCACTGATGACACCCGGTGGCAACGACCCAGGTTACCACTACCCCATTAATGCGTATTGAGCCAAGATAGTGTGAGCATTACGACGGGTGCGCTGGCGTTGATGATTTTAAGAAGTTTAGGATTCGATTTACACAAACAGACCGCGATTTCACTTATAAAAAGCCATCCGAGCCATCAGTCCTTTTAATATTCAGACAGTGACGATATCCCTCCCTCATAATTAAATCCTAGAAGGAGTAAAACGGCAATGAGGGCAACAATGCGGGGAGGAAGAATACCATCTTACCCAAGTACCGACAGGTCGCCCTCCGACGATGGACCGAATATTATGCAGTGAGAAGAAGAATGGCGAGTGGGGTGTAAAGTAAGTGACAGGGAAGGGTGTAGCGGATGGGCGGGCCGTTAACTCCGTGACGCGTCGCTTGCTGTCCTGCGCTCATTCAAGCTGTTCACTAGGAATCACTCACGGCATACGATAACTCCAGCCCTACACTTGCTTCCCAACCGCGCCATCCTCAATTTTCTCATCCTCTGCGCGTCTGCTTGACCTCCTTCGCGTGCAGAGACCAGTCATGTGCCCCTCTCGCGGGCCTCTCTCTCCGTGCCCCCTGCTGTCTAATCTAATCTGGCTCCTACCCGTGCTGCTACTCCTTCTGCTGCTACATACCACTCCATAACTGCACACATGGTTGTGCTTCATATACCTCAGGCGCTCTGCCTCCCCTGCTTCTTGCGCTTCATTCAAGAAGAAGCTCCATCAACACCGCAAGAGCTCCCCACTCTCCTTGCCTACCTCAAAATGTGGCTCATCCAAGCCCTCCTCGTTCTCTCGCATTTGTTCGCCGCCAGCCATGGCGCACCATCCGGCTTCCCAGCTTCTGGTAATGGCTTGTGGTTCACTACACCAGGCAAAGTGTGGTCGAGAGACTTCTTGCCTGTGGGTAATGGGTATCTCGCTGGTGCGTCTCTCCTTCCGACTCGTATTCAACCTAGCAATCTAACGAAGCTATGCTGCAGCGATGACACCAGGTGGAACCACCCAAGAGGCAACGCAGCTGAACATCGAATCATTGTGGTCTGGTGGACCATTCGCTGATCCTGTGCGTCTCTTCCCCGCTGGCTCTATTCTACCTCACTAATAGGCTCACAGTCTTACAACGGAGGTAATAAACAACCCTCAGAACGCGCCAACACAGCCGTAATAATGCAAAACATTCGACAGTCTATCTTCTCGAGCGCCACTGGGGATATCGATAGTGCGTCATTCCTCTCCTTCCTTCCTTCTCCTTCCCTCTCTCATTTCATACCTTTCCTTTCTCCCAACCGAAACTAATCACCCCTACAACAGACGTCGAATCCCTCGCCACCGACCCCGGCGCATACGGCTCCTACGCCGGCGCCGGACACCTCCTCACCACCCTCAACTTCTCCACCTCCGCGGCCGTAACCAACTACTCGCGGTGGCTCGACCTCGACCAAGGTCTCGCGCGTACGAGTTGGGTGCAAAGTGGGGTTGGGGTCCAGAGGTTCGTTCGCTTCTTCCTAGCTCTTGCTTCTTACTACGTCAATTCTAATGCAACCATAGAACGACCCTCTGTGCCCTGTCAACTCGCTCCTGCACCCTGCACACCACCCTCTCCCCTTCCTCTTCCTCTTCCTTCTCACTTCCAGCAATATCCCACACATTCACACATCTCCTCGAGCCCGACCTCCCTCCACCCAATATCACCTGTATTTCCCCTACCACCCTCTCCGTCCGGGGGTACCTCTCTTCTTTATCTTCAACACCCACTCCCGCCTCACCAACAAGTATGCTCTACGAATTCCTCATCCGGGGCTCCGTCCCCTCTGGCCAAGGAACCGTCCGATGCACGCAATTCCCCGTCCCGTTCGGGTTTCCGCCAAATGCAACGCTGGATATCATCCCGTCTTCCACTAACGGGACACTATCGACACTCAAGGAGGCGTGGATCACTTGGGTAGGCGATACAAATTACTCCCTGCTCGCTGGAGACGCAGCACACAACTATTCATTCGCGGGGCCAGATCCACGGGTTTCGTTGCTCTCCTTACTCGACGCCGCTTCCCCTTCCTCCCCTTCAACCTCGTCAAGCACATTCCAAACCCTCTTAACAACACACACCCGGTCCTATCAAGCCCTAACCCAAAAATTCTCCCTCTCTTTATCTACTGTACCCCAGGTCTCAACGCCTACAGATGAGTTGAAGGCCAAGTACTCCATCGACGCCGCCGGTGGTAACGGCGAAGAAAACAGGTACTTGGAATGGGTGTTGTTCAACTACGGCCGCTACCTCCTTGCATCAAGCGCACCAGGAAGCCTCCCAGCGAATTTGCAGGGCAAATGGGCAAATGGGCTGGGGAATGCTTGGAGTGCTGATTACCGTAAGCTCTTTCCTTTCAATCCATTTTTGACTCCTGCCTCTCAGTTCCTGATACTAACACGCGAAATTTTAAACAGACTCGAATATCAACATCCAGATGAACTACTGGTCCGCCGAGATGACCAATCTGGACGTGACGAAGAGCTTATTTGATTATTTCGAGGTTCGTTCATCTTCGTCTTCCTTCTTTTCCTCTAACCCCAGCTTCTATCTCTTTTTCTTGTTCTCTCTCTTACTTCTTCATTCAACCTTGGATTGTATGTTAACGCTCATCGTCGCACAGAAAACATGGGCCCCGCGCGGTGCCTACACTGCCCAGGTCCTGTACAATATCACTCGTGGGTGGGTCGTGCATAATGAGATGAACGTAAGTAGTTTGATTCATCAAACCTATCGATATAGAACAAGAAACTAACGATGAATACAGATCTTCGGCCACACAGGCATGAAAGCATCCGGGAACAGTGCTGAATGGGCTAACTACCCTGGTTCGTCCTCATTCTTCGTCCTCTTACTTCTATCTATTAACGAGTTGGCTGAATCTAGAGTCCAATGTCTGGATGGTCCGTACCTGTCCACTTCTCCCCTTCCAACTCATTAACAACTGCTCACCATTCAACCCTCTAGATGATCCACGTCTGGGACCACTTCGACTATACTAACGACCTCGCGTGGTTTAAATCACAAGGCTGGCCATTACTCAAAGGCGTTGCGAGCTTCCACCTCGACAAGCTCGTCACTGATCTGCACTTCAATGACTCGAGTCTGGTAGTGAATCCTTGTAATTCGCCGGAGCAGGCGCCTATTACGTTTGGTGAGTGTCTGCTAATGGGCGTGATTTTAGGGAAGATGAGTGGAATGTGAATGCTGATGCGACAGACTACAGGATGTGCACACGCACAACAGATGATCTGGCAGCTTTTTAATTCTATCGAGAAGGGATTCGCAGCGTCAGGGGATAAGGACACTGCCTTCCTTACTGGTTCGTTCGTTTCTTCTTCCACCTATTTGCACCGTAATAATCATTGGAATGCCCTCAGAGGTGCGCGCTAAACGCGCAGCGATGGACAAAGGTCTCCACGTTGGCTCTTGGGGCCAACTACAAGGTTTGTTATTCGACCTTTTCTATTTGTTAACTACCTCATATCCTATTCAACACAGAATGGAAAGTCGACCAGGACTCCCCCACCGACACGCACCGTCACCTCTCGCATCTCATCGGTCTCTATCCGGGCTACGCAATAGCTTCTTACGATCCCTCCATACAAGCTCTTCCGTCCCCCCAAACCGCATATACCAAGAAGCAAGTCCTGGACGCAGTCACTACAAGCTTGATCCATCGAGGGAACGGGACTGGCCCCGATGCGGATTCGGGCTGGGAAAAGGCATGGCGTGCGGCGGCGTGGGCACAGTTGGGGGACGCTGATACATTTTATCATGAACTTTCAGTGAGTTATTTTCTAATAATACTATTAAGGAGGATGATGTGCTGATGGCTTTATAGTACGCTATATTCGAGAACTTCGGTCCGAACTTATTCAGTTTATACAACCCCTTCGACCCGAATCCCATCTTCCAAATCGATGCGAACCTCGCGTATCCAGCAGCTGTTATGGTTTGTCACCTTTCCTTTTCCTTTTCTTACTCCCCCTTCTCATTGTCTACTTTTTCAGAACGCCCTCCTCCAAGCTCCCGACGTTGCTTCCCTCTCCACTCCCCTAACAATCACCCTCCTTCCTGCACTCCCCACACAATGGCCCACGGGATCCATCAAAGGCACGCGCGTCCGCGGTGGAATCACGCTTGACCTTGCGTGGAGTGGTGGCAAGCCCACCAGCGCGAGCATTAAGGTTGATTCGGGGATTACTCCGAGGAGTGTTAAAGTGGTCTACAAGGGGAAGACGCTGGCAAGCTTCAAGACATCGCCGGGGTTGACGAGGAGTTTTAGTAGTTTTTAGGAAGGGTTGACTCGTAGGTGATCACTTCGAGAAGTCGGAACAGATTTATGATGGATGTATGATTGCATTTTCTTGCTTTCTTGGATTTATTTATCTAGTCTTTTACCATGTATATGTAGCATGCTTACTAGTTGTGGATG